TTCATTATAATTTTTGTCTGTTTGCTCATCAGGTCGCCTTCTGCGTGCCTACAATATAGATTTTTGTTGGTATCGCCTCTCTCACTGGGTTAATCTGACGGAGCAGTGGCCATATAGGACTTCGTGGATACTGTGGTACTTTGAACAGCAGGAGAAAACTGCCCCACTGGATGACAAAGTCACTCTGAAGGATATATATGACAAGTAAGATCATTGTTATTTTGATCGCCCTGACTCCATGATTTTTTTCCTGATGATTGTATGATCATATGCATACTATGAAAATTACTATATTATACGTTTTTTATTCAAAGTGAGTTGGTGTTTCAGTTTTAGCTGCGTTCATTGCCTCATCTTGTTTTTTTCTTTTTCATTAAAAAGCGAAGGAGAAATGTCAAAGACATATACCTAAATATTTTGAATTATGGATAGCCTCCATGGCTGTTCTTGCCACAAACCATAGTTTGTCTAGGTTTCAGACTATGACTCAACATATCTACCATTCTTCAGTTTTTACGACCAGACATTCTTAATGGCTATAAATCTTCTGATTGTCTTGACTGCCCCTGACTTCACAATCACTGTAGGCATCCCTTTATAACTGCCAAACTGCATATTCGTTTTACTTCAAATTTATGAGTTTATTTATTTATTTTATTTTATTTTTCATTTTATTATTATTATTATTATTTGCATATTTTGGAAAAAAAAATTGTCCCAGGACGACTTCTCAACCAGATTTTTTAAAATTTTACTAAGAAGCTTTATTTGATAAGCCATACAGAGGATAAAAGTTCTGCCTCATTTCACTCAAAAAATAAAACATAAGGGTCTGTAAAACACGTATAGTTTTGTCTCATTATGCTCTTTTAAGAACCCTACCCCTTCTCCCCCTGAATCAGTCATCAAAAGTTCTATGGTGAGAAGTGTCCTAAAAAGTGGCAGTTCTTTTAGTCACCCACCGAAGTAGATTTTGGTTTACTGTTCAAACTTGAACTGTGCAGTGAAGTAAAAAACAATACAGTGAAGTGTGAAGAATTGTGTATTGAATTTTACTAGGATCACACCTTTCCTACCGCCAAAGGAGCTCCATCCTTTGATTGAAATTGACCGCAACCCTCAGAAGTTGGAAGTGTTCCTTGCAAGCTTCACTCCGCAGCTGACCGTTGGCGACATCAGAAGACTACTGCCTTGTAGCATTAGTATAGACCCCTACCTCAGGAAGCTGATCAAAGGTAATTTGCTATTGGGAAAAGATGATTGCCAGGGAATATTGGAAGTGGTTATGATGGGCCTGTCTAAATAGATCTGATCTAAGAGTGTGTCTGCATATTGAGTGTGTTAGTGTGCATAAAGATTTGGGAGTGTTTCATATAAAAATGCAGTTATGGTGAAGACCTTAACTCCCAATATGAATTTTTTTTAAAGTTTATTTTTTAGTAAACAGTTCCAAATACTTACTTTCTATTGTTATTTGTAAAGATAAAAGTTATGGTTTGGCCAATGAATTTTTATTTATAGATACAGCATAGTCTATACATAATATCGGTGTCTGGCTCTGTCCTCTGTCCTAGTCACCAGAGCTGATGACACTGAAATATCTGTTGGGGGAATCAGAGCTGGAGCCTCACACATTTTATTTATTTATTTATTTATTTATTTATTTATTTACTGCTACCACAGGTACTAATGTCATTCTGTTTCAAAATCATGGTGATTATTCAGTGTTTTTAAATGCAGGTCAAGTTGGACATGGTCTGGTGACTCCCTATATTTCTTTCAGTGATTTTGGCCCTGTAGACATTGTTTTATCCAAATGATGACCCTGTTAAAACTTTTTTTTTGGTTTCTTGTGGCCCTACCAGGGGCGTAACCAGACCTTTTNCCCCCCCCCCCCCCCCCCCCCCCCCCCCCCCGGAGGCTACGGCCCTGGGACCACGTGGCCACGTAGCTCATTAAATCCCATACCTAGCGAAAAGGATTTTTAAGCTCAAAATTTACAAAACTAGCTTCAAATTTGTGTATTTTGATTAAGGTATCATTAATTAGGCATGTTTATGAAGAATATGTTCCGTTCAAGCCATTCCGACGGTCCGACGCAAATCATTTTAAGGACCTTGTTAAAACCAGGAAGTACATGTAGAGCGCAACTAACAACTACTGCAAATCGCAAATCGCAACGAACCACAATCGAGTTGCAATGATATATCCGTTTTTTTCAATGTTGTGTCGAGTTTTTAGATGATAAAATTTCAAGCCTATATAAATCGTTGATAGTGCAATGATAGATCTATTACAGCTGGGGTACGCACTACACTGTACTTAATTGACATTCGGTTAGAAGAGGTTGAGTATACAGTGAATAGTGCTAAGTGTGACAAAAGCCCGGGGTTTGATTACCTTCCCGCAGAGTGTCTGAAAAATAAGACGACTATTAGATTTCTGCAGTTCTGCTTTGTTAATTCAGTCGTGCCTAGTGCCTGGCTCAAGTCCGTTATTAACTCAATTCCTAATCCTATAAGGGTAATAATGTTAATCTATGTGATCCACTAGAATACAGTGGAATAACATTATTTAACATTTAACGTATGTACGATGTATATACATTTACACTGAACAGAAGTTTATCAAAATGGGCTGACGACAATAACATAATAGCTGACGAGCAAAATGGTTTAGACCCCATTCCCAGAGATTAGATCGATCCAACTAGATCGACCTAACTCTCTGGGGGTTAACGCTAAATAGCGGTCAGCCGAGCGGGAACGAAAGTTAATTACCCTCTTACAGCTTGTGGTAGGCGGGACGGACATTTAAGCCGAATTATCTGACAGTAATCTAGAGAGACTCCCCACAGGGATAGATCGATCTAAAATCTATGGGAATGCGCCCTTAGACAAGATCGAGGGGGTTCGGATCATCTGAATGTATATCATATCTAGTATTAAAGAAAATAGTCTAAAGCAAAATCAAAGCCTATATGCGTGTTACATCGATGCAAGAAAAGCATTCGACAGAATTAACAGGTCTTATTTATGGTACAAACTTAATAAGTTGGGAATTTGCGGAAATTTCATGAATTCCCTTCAGGCCTTGCATAGTAAACCCAAGTGTTGTGTTTGGGTAAATAATTATACAACAGGTTTCTTTGGCACAGATACTGGAGTAAAAAAGGGGTGTCTGGTGTTACCCTTTCTTTTTGAAATCCTATAGTATATTAATGATTTGGTACATGATGTTAAAGCAGTGGTTAAGGGCTCTGATGTAGGAGCTGATCTGATCTGTTATCTTCTTTATCCGGATGATGTTGTGTTTCCAGCTGGGAAAGAAAAAATGAATAAGTTTTGCAAGCAATGTTTGATGTAGTGTACAAGTGGTGTCATAAATGGCAGCTGACTCTGAATGAGGATACAACTCAGATAATTAATTTTCGGACACCCAGTGTGCCTAGGACTGATTATATGTTTACATGTGGTATCTTTGGAGTAAATGTTGCTGTAAAATACAAATACTTAGGCATGGGATATTTTGAGCATTTTGATATGAGTAAGACGGTATCTTGCAAAGCAAAATCTGCAGGTAGAACTCTAGGCCTTCTGACAGCAAAATCCAAAGCAAAAGGGAGCATGCCTTATGTATTAGTAGCCCCAGTGTTAGAGTATGATTCTGCGTTTTGGGGACTCCAGGAATTTAGTCAAATCAATGCTGTGTAGAGCTGCATATTGTAACTGAACGCATTTTGCAACCGGTTGCAAGTGTTGTGTTAGGGTAAGCAAAAAAATCGCGAAATATGCATTTTGCAACTGCAACGCATTTTGCAACCAGAACCTAAAACGGTGAGTACTATGCTACTGAGGTAGAATTAAAATGGTGACGGGTTTTCCTCTACTATGTACGATGAATTTGGCCAGGCTGCCCCTGTGGCGGACGAACATATATACAATTTATTCTAGACTGTAATTTCCCAGACCATTAGAGTTAGGAAGTTGAAACGTCAAGGATTAATAAAGATATTGTAAGACATATGCATGGGCACTTCAGATTTTTTTTTGTAACTTGGGGTGTGTTCGTCCCTAGGGGTGGTTGATTGTAATTTTTAAATCTTAATTTCTGCCATTTACCCTTATATCTTTAAAGTAAGGAAATTAAATCGTTGGGGATTAATACACAATCGTAAGAAATGTGCATGGGCACTTCGAATTTTTTTTGACTATGATTGTGGTTGTCCCTGGGGGTGGTTGATTGAAATATACCCTAAGATCTTTAGACTGAGGAATTTGAAATAATTAGAATTAATAAACATATATGCGGAATTTTAGTGTGAGCTTGCTGTCCTTGGGTGATGGTATTTATATTTTTATAGCGTTTTTACTGTTATATGCCCTAGTCTATAACAGTGAAGAACATGTCCAAGACACAATTAAATATCAGAACAGCCTTGATTTGCAAATCCCTCAAGATGGGTTTATTAGCCCCCAACGTAAGTTCCTAATCATGGTGGACTAGGAATTAACAATGTAAAATACATTATACATGTATCTTGTGAATATGTAGTCCACCCCAGCGGTAGCCTGACCAATGTCAGCGTACCTAGCCGAGGCAACTATGTCCCCATTCCTGATCTACCTCTATAGTACTTTACACCATTTCAGTGACTTAAAATAAATAATATTGCAAAATGGGGCTCTACACCGCAGTGAATTGACAGTTACTTTATAAGACATAATTGTGCATACAGAGTATCCGCCCTCCATTACATTTGTACAGGTAAGGGGTAACATGAAGAAGTTAATCAAAATCTGGGACGGGGCTTAGACTTATCCATGGAACCGGGTTCTCTATCATTGGGGACTCCCTTGTAAATGACATATCAACGTCTAGCATTCAATTGTTCTACGAGGAAGGGCACCACAATTTAACATTACCACCTTCGTCACCCACCTATTCAGAGTACAGAGAGAATCTAAACTAGGATGAACCTCAAGCCGCACTTGCCGTTCTACCTTGTTATATATTTTGTTCGATAAGGGGTATTCAATTTACCAGTATAAATTATTCAGTGGACGTAAGGACATCATTCTTCATAGGCTATTTTCATATTTTCATGAGGAGTCACCACTTTTTTAAAAGAACGGTGACATGTGTGAAGAAAAATACTGTTGCAGCTAAATTGTTTTTTCTCTTCGTTACCGTAAAGTGTGCACGGTTAAATAGGACGTCTGCCTTTCAGACTAGAGGTCGCGTTTTCCGCAACAATGATCTACAGGTAGAAATATATATAGCTCATTTCTAAATGCATTTTTATCTATTGTTATAGGTGTATCCCAGAGGCGAGAAAAATGAGAAGAAACTGGAGGGGAATATTCAGTGCATTGGTTATTTTGATGCTGATTTTTACGGCAAGTTACTTTAATAAATCGTAACCTTTATGGTCACCCAGTCGTCTTCAAAAAGTGTCAAGGTAAACATGAATGATAACAATGGGAAACAAGAGGATTCAGGTGTAAAAATAGTCGAGAATGTTCACGGCAGTAGGGTGACGGCTGTTCCCGCGTCCTCGTCACTGAAGAACCCAGATGGAGAGGACAAAGTTAAAACTGCGACAATGTCCAGTTTGACAGATAGAAAATATGAAAATACAGAAAGCCTTTCTGCTCGCTTTGTGTACCTCATTCAAGGCCCAAGCGTTAAATCAATTAAGGGACTAAAACATTCATCTGACCGTCAGATTATCTGGTTAACGTTCGCTGACCGGTCTGGAGACTTTTACTTTCCAAAAAGTACCTGGACACAAGGAAGAAACATGCTGCTGAGGGAAGCCGTCAGACAGGCTTCCAAACGCGAAGATGGTGGTTATTTGTACTACATATTTTTGGACGACGACGCGGTATTACTTCCATTGCCAACAGTCAAAAATACTAACAGTTCCTCTACAAGTAGAAACTCAACCAAAGACACGCCGTTTGACATTTTCGAGAGTTTTCTTCTGGAATGGGAACCTGCCATCGGATATCCACATTATGCAAAGAATTACATAGAAAAAGGAGCACGCGTAAATATAAATTTCAAATTCGATGCCATGTTTACAGCTTTTCACAGACATACGCTCTCTTGTGTTTTACCGTATACCGAGGAAGTGGATCATATTTCTTGGTATTTTTCACAACTTTTCCTTGATTATTGGGCAGCAATGCTATATAATTCGTATCGAATCCAGTGCAATGACATTCAAGTGACCAACAAACGTTTTCATAGCAAAAAGGAAAGGTCTTCGAAAGCCGTTGTTTATCATGATTCTATCAAATTTGAAATCGCGAAGGCATTTCAATTATCATCACTGCGGAACGAAACAAATAACAATGTCGCCACAAACTTAATTGGTGTATTTTCGAAAAAGGAGCCCATATTTGCATACATCAACGGTACTGCTACAAAGAAAAATCAAATGAACTATAGAGTTTCGACTAATTTCATATTGGACAATTTTCGTGCCGACCATCCGATAATACAAAACATTTTACGCTGCGACGTCTTCCGGAGGTAAAGAAAATCATCTACGCAACTCCAGGAATTCGTCAAGAAAATGAACCGCAATTTATTCCAGACATCGCTAAGTTGACGTAGTTAGCAAAAATCTTGTGTGGGAATGGAGGGTGAGAGATGAGGACCTGTGAAAAATGTCGGCTTGCAAGTATACCTTTTCCCTCGCAAATTTATTGTGTCACTGCTCTGACAGCCATACGAAGTGGTACTTACTGCAAAAAATCCATACGTTATCCATGGAAGGTGATTTTGTTGTCAGGTTGTGACACGTTTCTTAAAAGTAACAAATCCGGAGTCTTTGCGCCAAATATAAGTTTTCTAAAGAAAAAAAAAGCCATACAATTTTTCCTAAGCACCTAAGACTCGTCCGCACCTGCACTAAGATTCTTTGCTATATACTGTTTCTATTTTGATAATTTAGTTCAAAATTTCTGGTTAGGTATACCGCCATGTCTTCCTGTAATTATCCGAGGTATATATCGTAGGCGTAGAAAATGATTTGTCACATTTTAAAACGCTTTTAATATACTTTCAAAAGCGGTGTACATTTGGTTGACGGAGTATATGCCAGGATATGTTGCTGACTGCATGCAGAAAATGTGAGGGGCGGGATCATTTCATCCATACCACATTTTTATTTATAATATAATTATCACAAATAACTAGCGCAACGTCTAGTCTGCTCGGGGTGCTAGGGTGGCCACAGTGATCTGGCCAAGATTCAGCATTTTCTCCACAGTTACCGTAGAACGTAGTTTACTACTACTTGTACTAGAAATAAGGTGCGTGTGGCGGTCCTAATTATCGGGATAGGGTAGGTGACTAAGAGTATCAACAACAGATGGAAATCGGTGTGATGACGTGAAGTAAATATTTTGTCATATGCTACGGCATTTAAATTGTATGCGTTCGCTCAATGATATCTAAAGCGCATTGTTTAACATTTTCTCGTGCAAGCTTAACCTTTAAGTTGCTAAGCATGGGTGTTGTCACTATTTTTTAATCTCATTGGTGCAAATAAAAGCATTTATACTGTTTATAATTGTGTGTGTTCTTCTGGATAGCGCTCATTTCGTCTTTGAGCACATATTTTGCTTAAAGCGTTTTGGAATTCAGGACAAGAAAAAGACATGACTGTTCTGCTATGTTATTAACGTGGCAACCAAACTAAATTTAGTCTGCGGCCTAACAAGATTTTGAATCAAGAAAAGAAATAAGAAATACAATGTCTTGGTTCTTAAAACTTCGCCTTGACTAGTATTTCGTTATTTGGAAATCCTTCCGAAAAAACATAAGTTGATACCATTCTAATGAGCCTAGGTTCAATATTATAGACAGTTTACACACTGCTTAGATAGCAGTTATCGATACGCGTTTAAGGTAAATCGTTCGTTACATGTCTAACGTTCGATTTTATTTTTCATTTTATTTTATTTATTCATTTATTTTTTGTTAGTTTGTTTGAAAAGTACATTAAAATTTTGCAAAAAAATTGAGGGTCACAGAACAAATAAAAGAACTAGGCCCAAGCATGTTACACCCTGCGTTTCGCACTAGTCTCCATTCATATCAATGGGGAAATGGGCGTTATTTCACGTAACCGTTATTTTATATAATGTTCTAACGTCCGATTTTTTTAAAAAAATGTTTTACTATAAAGAGACATCCAAGTGAATGAAAACTTTGCAAATAAATTTGGGGGGGGGGGGGGGGGCCCCACCAAAAAAAGAAAACAACCCAAGTTGGAATGATTTCAA